CCCCCCCCAGAGGCGTAGCGACCCTTCCCGGGGACAAACTTTCAAATTTTTAATTTGCACCCCCCCCCCCCCTCAGACTTTCGATTTGCACCCCCCTCAAACTTTCTATTTGCACCTCCCCCCCCCCCCTCAAACTTTCTATTTGCACCCTCCCCCCTCAAGTTTTTCTCTATATATTTTGCTATTTTTTTGCCTTGGTGTCACCCCCCTAAATGGTGTCACCCCCCCCCCCTCGCTACGCCTCTGATTAAGTTATATACATTTGTAACGAACACACTGACAAGCAAGCTGTTCCCATGATTTGATGCACCCTAGCAGGAAGAAGCTAGCATGTCACTTAAAAAATGCGTGGGTCTCAATCCAACTCTCAGCACAGTATCACAACCCTAGAATAACGTATTCCATTTTTAGTTGCAGAAATTTCCCAACACTTCAGCTTTAAACAATTGCCTGGTAATGATTTGAACTGAAGTAGGTTAGATGTTGTTCAACAGCGACCAGTCTAACAATGCATGGACTCTCGTGTGAGTACTGTTAACATACTTGGACGTTTGTTAAAAAAACGGAGAAGTTGACATCCTGACAGGCAACCACTTGAGTTTGGATGGGCTGACTGTCGTGTTGGTCGTGTGGATGGTTTGAAACAGACGTCAGTTGTGTGATAATCCCAACTGGTGGATGAGCAGTGAGCTGATTACGATAATCTCAACCTACCTAGGATTAAAAGATGAAACACCTCAGTCGTGCTAGTCTTGTAGTTTTCGTGCTAGAGTTCGCAGGATTTTTTTGTAAGTAGACGCAGATAAATCTTTTTTTGCTGTCTCAAGGGGTTTGTTCTAAATCTCATCTCAACAACTATTTCAGTAGAGTAGCGATTGCCTGTGTTTTTAGTCAATAGACGAGGCGCGACCATGGGGGGGGGGGGGGGGGGACAAGGGGTAAGAACAAAGGATGACAAGGATGACGATGAGATGGTTGATGACATTAGTAGATGTTATATCAGAGGACATGACACGTTATACTAAAACAGTCCATACACAAGTAGTATAGGGACAGTCAATAGACAGCTACTTTCACAACACAATCACTTTCACAACACAATCACTTTCACACCACAATCACTTTCACACCACCATCACTTTCACACCACCATCACTTTCACACCACAATCACTTTCACACCACAATCACTTTCACACCACACCACTTTCACAACACAACCACTTTCACACCACAATCACTTTCACACCACAATCACTTTCACACCACAACCACTTTCACACCACAATCACTTTCACACCACACCACTTTCACACCACAATCACTTTCACACCACAATCACTTTCACACCACAACCACTTTCACACCACAATCACTTTGACACCACAATCACTTTCACAACACAATCACTTTCACACCACCATCACTTTCACAACACACTCACTTTCACAACACAATCACTTTCTCACCACAATCACTTTCCCACCACAATCCCTTTCACACCACAACCACTTTCACACCACAATCACTTTTACACCACAATCACTTTCACAACACAATCACTTTCACACCACAATCACTTTCATAACACAATCACTTTCATAACACAATCACTTTCTCACCACAATCACTTTCATAACACAATCACTTTCATAACACAATCACTTTCGTAACACAATCGCTTTCCCACTCGTTAACCGTGTGTGACCAACAAAACATCCTCACTGAGCTCACGTGCTGACACACTAAAACAACACGCTACACGCCATTTAACAAAACGTTCATGCACGCACTTGCACTTGCCACAAGAGAGACACAGTTTGCAACAGTGACGGATGTAGTTGGGTTGGGTTCTTGGCTGTACGTTTCGCTGCTTGTCGCTTCATTCATTATACTGTAAAATATATACGTAACTGTAGAGGATTGGCGACAAATTGGCGTGCAGATCATACTTAATTTTTTAATTCTGCTCACATTGAAGTGTCATCTGGCGTCCGTTTCTAGTCTGTTGACGTGTGTGTAGACGGCGTAGGTGTCCGGAAAACTAAGTCCAGATTACAAATCATCTAGATAGCCGAAAACTAAGTCGAGATAACAGATTATCAAGATAGACAAAAACATAAGTTTAGCGTCGACGTATTAGCTGTACTTCAAATCTCCTCATATACTTGATGTATGTCGTTCAATGAGAATGTGCGTGCATGTGTTAATGAAGGGGTTTTTTTAAAACAGTGTTGCCGCGATTTGTTTGGTGAAGTGATCTAACATGTCTATGTAGATCTACATGTTTGCTAACAAAATGGGAGGGGAGGTGTATAGTTTATGTCATGTCTTTATGTGCTAAAGTTAAAGGTAGCATACAAGAAAAGGCTACTATCGACCCTGGTTACTTTTAGGCTACTAAAAAATCTGTTTTCAACGTTGTTAGCCTAGGTTAAAGTGACGGTAGAAAGTAATCAACGATTGTTTAATGCGGCGCATTAATTTAATTTCTGCCATACCAGGAATCAACAGATCTATTTATGCACATACATTAGAAGCCCATCTAATCCATATCGCAACACTGGATTACATGTTTCCATAATATATGGATAATATGTTTACTTATATGGATTATATGTTTACATATATGGATTAAATGTTTACATATACGGATTATATGTTTACATATTTTTTGTGATAGCAAACGGTATTCCGTTTTTACATTGAAGGGTACATACAATGAAATACAAAATTTTAAATACAAAATTTTAAATACAAAATTACAACGTTGTAAAACTGTTTCCCTACCACCACCACCACTACATGACGATTTTATCGAACACCATCCCACCCCCTATATTATATAGCCAAGACACATGCATCTATAACAGAATTGCATGAAGCACTAACATGTGTATGAAGTATTGTTCCCGCAATCTGATACAACATTGATATATTGTATTCTCTTAACCAGTTATTAAGTATAACAAAAACAAACAATCATACGGTGTCTATTGGAAGATTTTAAAATCCTTACAGTATTTAAAACAGATGTAATATTCCTTATAAGGGAAGTATGAAATCCTTTCACTTGAAGACAAGGTCTAACCCCTTTTCTTTTAACTCCTACCGCCTAGCTAAGATTCGGCCAAGAGATAATAAAATAAAACTCTTACATGTGGACATGAGTCAATGTAAGCACATACCTCTACACCCTCCAGCTAAATTAAGTACGCAGCAATCTCCCATACACAATAATGCCTACACATCCATTCATCACACATCCACATACCCGCACGCCACTCACACCCCAAAACACAGCACATACACCCCTTCCTCCCCCCCCCCCCACACACACAAACACCCAGACCATCCTAGCCCGTCCACTCACAAGCCAACCTGACCAGACTCACACACACCCACATACTAGCACACCTAGAACGGATCAGCACCCCCCCCCTACACACACACCAAGACCATCCTAGCCTGTCCACTCACAAGCCAACCTAACCACACACACACACACCCACACACTAACACACCTAAACCCGATCAACTCACACACACACATACACACACACACACCACCTAACCTTAACAGGTTCCCAACCCTCTCCACAGATCTCGGCTGTGCCTCCAAACGTTGTGACCTTGACCTCCACACCCAAGAGACGACCCTGGTGCTACTGAAGGGGGACACAGGCTCAGTGCTCTGTGACGCCTCATGTTACGGCACACACGATATCACAGTCACGTGGACGGACCCCCGGGGCAACGAAATTGGTCCCCACCCTCATAGGTGGGTAAACAAAAAAGTTTATCTATCCTAAATCAACAGAAACAAAATACACGATTGTAAAGCCAAAAACAGATTTTACACCATTTGATTGACTCGGAAAAGAGCGGGGATGTTTGGCTTAGTGTTTTAACTAGCTTGGGTTTGATTGTTTAGATATAGCTAGTGATAGGATTAGAGCTGGTTTAGATTAAGAATCAAAGAGTATGCATGAATACAATTTTAAAAGACTGCACATTTTGCACTGCACACTATTCCAATTTTTTTTAAAGAGTTTTCCAGGAAAATAATTTGAGAGCTAATTTTTCTGTAAAATTCAATTTTTTAAATTGTTTTTTTTTTCAAGAATTTTTTCCCAATTGTTAACTAACGGACAACTTAACAAACTGGTTATAACCGGCGCGGATACGTATTTGAGCGGAAGTTACGTGTGTACCGTGGCACGCTACGGTCAAGTGGTGCAGAGGAGGGCGATTGATGTTTACGTGTATGGTAAGTTCAAGGTCAGGCGTCACCATTTCACAGAAATTCATCAAAAAATATAATTACGGTATTTTTAAATATGTGTACTGTTATTTGAAGTTTTTAAAGCCAATTGAACTTTTTTTGAAAATAATACACAAAATCCACACAATTGAATCTATTTTTTATTTTTTTAACAAATTTCGAGAAAAGAAGTATTTATTTTATTGTTTATCATATTCGTCAACAGAAGAATCAACGTTCGATGTTAGTTATAAAGACAAAAAGGAGAACATACCCAGGATTAATGACCCCACCCAACGCAGGGTTAATGACCCCACCCAACCCGGGGTTAATGACCCCACCCAACCCGGGGTTAATGACCCCACCCAACCCGGGGTTAATGACCCCACCCAACCCGGGGTTAATGACCCCACCCAACCCAGGGACGACCCGTTCGTCAAGCGTGCTTTACACCCGATGACAGATGAAACAGACGAGAAACACCAGTTGGTTGACGACACTGACGTCACACACCCGTTGGTTGACGACACTGACGACGGTACCAACGACTACGCCGACATGGAGCTGCTGGAAGCGTTGGCGTGGAACAAACAACTGGCGGAAAAAATTTCCGGGAATACCGGGCGGGAGGTCCCGCTGGGTTACCATGACAACGCATTGGAACCCGGAAGTGAAAGTCTGGCCTCAGAGAAGGACGGCGGGACCTCTAAAACTCAGGCATCAGAGCAGGGGGAACATGTCGTCAGCCACACGAACTTTGATGCCTTGAACGACAGTGACGTGGAGATCAACGATTTTCACGATACACTACCAGAGCTGGGCGATGAGATACCTCTGATCTGAGGTACAGAAGAGATGCGGGTATAAACAGCACTGGACATTCAGGAGATGATGGCGATAGCGTTTCATCAAGCTCTGTGTTAGAGTCGCGCAACACCAGCTCGTCTCCTTCTACAACAGTAGATGTCACCATCACAATTATGGATGTTAGTACGGAGGTATCCACAACGCCCACTATCACGGCTCAAGATATCAGTGGGGAGGCATCCACAACGCCCGCCACCCCACCTAAGGATGACGATGGGGAGCCATCTACGAAGCCCACCACCCCCTGCACGACGCCCAAGCCCAGCAACTTCGGCAAATATGGCGTCCTGGCCTTCGCTGTATCCTTGTCCCTAGCATTCCTCCTGCTCTACGCCATCCTCATGATCGTGTTCATGCCGAGGATTCTCGCGAGGAGGAGAGCCGTCAGCCAGTCGGACGTAAGTAGCTTTAGCGCCGTAGTGGAGTCATGATTTGCTGACGCGGCGTCAGTTGATGACGTGTGGGTGGATACTATTTTAAGATTTTTGAAAAGATTTTAATATGTTTTTAAAATTGTAGACGTTACTCTTCTTCTTTGGAGACCGGTCGGGTGATAGAACTCACACTTCTAATTCAAAGGTCTCGAGTTCGGGTCCCAGGCTCTATCGAGTCTGCTGGACGTCCGGAGTCCACCCAGCTGTGATGGGTACCTGACTCAGATTAGGGAAACTAAGGCAACTGGCATAGTGCCGACCACACTGTCCTCGTGTATACCACAGTCATTGAAACATGTGAACTCTGAAGATTAGAAAATTTACGTTTCATAGTCTATTCGAAAATCCAAACTAAGTTTTGCTAGCAGACTTCTTTGAACAGCAACATTGTTATAATGGATTGACAAGTATATAACGTGTTTCAAATTAAATTTATTGTTTTACTACACCAGGAAACAAATCCCCTTTTCTGTGACTTTTAGATCCCAAATTGTACACACTTGAGATAAACTATTTATTTTAATGAATGGAGAAAGCCACTTCATGTAGTTACACAGTTTAATGTGAAGTGTTTTTATAGTAATATGTTGGTTGATGTTTTATCAACCTCGTCTATTTCTCTCTCCACACTCCCCCCAACACTGCCATACACCCTAACAACAAAAAAAACCCGACCCCCACCCCCACTCCTCCCCTATCCACCCCCACTCCTCCTCTATCCACCCAACACACCTACACACCCTAACAAAATAAAACCTTTGGGTTAGTCCCACCCCCAACCCCTAGGAGGTCGGGTGTTACCCGGTGCGGCACTTAATGATGTCACCCCCCCCCCCCCAGAGGCGTAGCGACCCTTCCCGGGGACAAACTTTCAATAATGCACCCCCCCCCCCTCAAACTTTCGATTTGCACTCCCCGCTCAAACTTTCGATTTGCACCTCTAAAAAGACTATTTAACACTCGAATTAATCACTTAATTAAGTGGAATTATCATTTTTCTCTATATATTTTGCTATTTTTTGCCTTGGTGTCACCCCTCTAAATGGTGTCACCCGGTGCGGTCCGCACCCCCCGCCCCCCCCCCCCCCCCCCACCTCGCTACGCCACTGCCCGATCCCACACCTTCACTCCTCCCCTATCCCCCAGCACACCTACACACCCTAACAAAATACATAAAACCTATGGGTTAGTCCCCCCCCCATCCCCCCTATCCACCCAACACTCCCACACCATATAAAAAAACTATTGGCCAGTCCTCTCCCCACCCCTGGGTTGACATTTAACCTCTGACCCTGTCCCCCTACAGCCAGAAGCGCAGCACTACAAGAAGAGGAACTCCGACGGTCTAGAGGCGCCCATGACCATGACGTCTAACGACACGACACTGTCGGATAACGAGGCAGGCGACGCCAAGGAAAAGAAAGATGGCGATAAGTCCACGACGACAGAGAGTGAGAATGAGAATGCAACAGCAGGCGATGAAGGGTAGGGTGGAGTGTATTTTTAACTTCGTTTGACACACTACTTAACCTGAACTCATCCTGAATGATGACATTTAATTCACTGAACGTATATTTATTTTTAACACACTATTACACACGAAATACCTTAAATTACGAATGTTTATGATTTTTTAACGTTAAATAATTTTTAAAAAATGTAAAGATCACCTACCAGACCTGACAATCCATAGGGCAGATGAAGTAGAGTTCATGTGTTACTTAATCACAACAAAATGAAGTGATGACGTGTTCAGTCAGCACTATGCCCATCTGCCTTTTTATTTTCATAACGTGAGTCTCAGCTCCGACTTAACGACGCGGGCATTTATTGATTGTGTTGTAAATAACACATTTCTTAAATCTTTTCAATCTTGTAACTTTTCAGTCGAGAAAACACAGATGAAAACACGGGCCAAACTAAAGCAGACGACAAAAACACGGAAGAGAAAGCAGACGTCAAACAAGACGACAAAGCAGACGGCAAGCAAGACCCCCAGCAGGACTCGACCCAAAAACCTGACGGCCAGAACCCCCCTGCCCCCACAACCCCTGCCCCCACAACCCCTGCCCCCACAACCCCTGCCCCCACAACCCCTGACCCCACAACCCCTGCTCCGGGACCTGACCCCAGTCTGCTGTCCTCCATTCTGAACGAGAACTTTGTGGGCCACGACCAGCCCACCCCCGGGCCGGACCACAGCGGACCCCCACCAGATCAAGACACGTCGGATCTACTCCCCCCGCCCCCGAGTGATAGCCAACTTCCGGTCATAGATTTCACGTTCGATGTCCGACCACTGACCACACCGGATGTGACGCAGTCAGACGAGGTTGACGTGTGATGTGCTCATTGGGGCAGTAACTTACTCACAAGAGGGGGAGAGAGGGAAAGAAAGAAAAAAACTATTACATGCATTTTTACCGAAGTAATTATTATCTTTTTTTATGCAATTTTTATTTTAGAAACTGTTTCTTTTCTTCTTCGTTCTCAATTTTAGTGTTGGAAGGTATCCCCCAACATTGAGGCCATTGACTCCGATTTCAGCCTGCTTTTCTTTTTGGATTTGCTTCCAAAGCCGTTGTCCAACCAAAAACAAATTACAAGACAGCAGTTGTTTGATTTTGGAGTTGTCTCTCCTAGAAGAGTGGCTGTCCCCAGCTATCGAGCCTCATTTGCCCGAGCGGTCGAACTCGAGACCTTTAGGTCTAATCTACTTGCTGGAAGGAAACAACATTTAAGGTGAAGGGGAGCAACTGACTGTATAGAAAATTCTCAGTATATATTGGTAGTGTCCCTTTACAACTAAAGTTGCCAATGCTATTGGTATAAGACTGACTTATTAGATGTCTACATGAGCCTTATTGATTAGAAAATTAGAATTCAATCAATGTCGTAATAAGATGAGCAATATGACATGCCATTAATCGATATTTTTAGAACTCATTTTTAAATCATATATCAAAAGTTTTCTCATATTTTGTGTCACAATATTTTGCTAACTCACTTTTCAAACGCTTATTTGTGCATGTTAACGAAAATAATTTTATAAGGACTAACATTATTCATAATTGTATAAGGAATAACATTCTTTATAATTTTAAAACACATTTTAGGTCAATTATGTAAATATAATTATTTTATGTTTATTATAATTTAAAATAAAAACGTTAACTTTAAACAATACATGTTTGACAGTACAGGTTTTTTTTTAAAGAAAATGTTTCCTTGTGTTGGGTGGTTTCATGAGAGGGTTGGCTGCGTTCGTTGTGTGGTTGGATTGATTGTTAATATGGTTGGTAGGTTGATCAATAGGTTACTGGGTGGATGGGTTGATCAAATAGGTGGATGGGTTGATCAAATAGGTGGATGGGTTAATAACATGGGTGGATGGGTTGATAAAATGGGTGGATGGGTTGATAAAATGGGTGGATGGGTTGATAAAATGGGTGGATGGGTTGATCAAATAGGTGGATGGGTTGATCAAATAGTGGATGGGTTGATAAAATGGGTGGATGGGTTGATAAAATGGGTGGATGGGTTGATGCAATGGGTGGATGGGTTGATAAAATGGGTGGATGGGTTGATAAAATGGGTGGATGGGTTGATAAAATGGGTGGATGGGTTGATAAAATGGGTGGATGGGTTGATGCAATGGGTGGATGGGTTGATAAAATGGGTGGATGGGTTGATAAAATGGGTGGATGGGTTGATGTAATGGGTGGATGGGTTGATAAAATGGGTGGATGGGTTGATCAAATAGGTGGATGGGTTGATAAAATGGGTGGATGGGTTGATAAAATGGGTGGATGGGTTGATGCAATGGGTGGATGGGTTGATAAAATGGGTGGATGGGTTGATCAAATAGGTGGATGGGTTGATCAAATAGTGGATGGGTTGATAAAATGGGTGGATGGGTTGATAAAATGGGTGGATGGGTTGATAAAATGGGTGGATGGGTTGATGCAATGGGTGGATGGGTTGATAAAATGGGTGGATGGGTTGATAAAATGGGTGGATGGGTTTGACAAAATGGGTGGATGGGTTGATAAGATGGGTGGATGGGTTGATCAAATAGATGGATGGGTTGATCAAATAGTGGATGGGTTGATAAAATGGGTGGATGGGTTGATTGGAAAAATAAATAAGAACGATATGATGGTATGTACAGCTCACCAGTCAATTGGTCGAGTGGTAAAGCAATTATTGGCTGACGCTAAAGTCTCGATTCGGTTCTATGCTCGAATAAGTAGGGCGTCCCTATGCCTATTAGACTTTGATTGGTACCTGGTTTAAGTCGGGGATACGGAAAGCAGTTTTTTTTTTTTAATGGAAATCAGATGAGCATGGATCTGTTTCGTTACCTAGCCAACTGTTTTAACTATCTATCAAGGTCTTCTGAAGAGATATTAAACATTGTAAAAGTAATATATTTTTTAATAATAGTTTTTTGAAAAGTTGATCATATTTGATTAACAATTAAAGTAAAAAAAAAATTTTTTTATATTTTTATATTTAAAAAATGTAATGCTATTTTATTTTAAGAAGTGAAAATCAATTTTCATCGAGTTGTCGTTTCTGACCGGATCTCTTGCTTCTAGTCCCTGGCACCACACGGCTCTTCATTGTCTGAGATTGAGAGCGCTTGCTCAGAGAACTGAGGGCCAAGTCCAGCACTGACGCCGCGTCAACTGACGCCAGCCAGGCGTCAACTGATGAGCAAACACGACCTGTCTGAAGGATGTATGCACGGCTAACCGGTTCGTGTCGGCCGGTTCGTGCCGGCAGACATGTCTGTCATCGAGTACACTGCACCTTGGGGCCGGCAGGCCACGCCCGTGAACGGGGTATTAGGTGTACCCCCGGGTGTACCCCCGGCCATCACGATACATCAATGTCCAGTTCAGACCCAGCTCAATAGATAAATTTCATTGTGAAACCATTTTTTTAAACATTCGAGAACTTTATCAAATTAAAACAGATTTCTTCTTAACAGATGTAACCTTGACAGTAGTTTTTGACCAATTTATTATCCTATTTCAAAAACTGCGTCGCAGTTCACAAATGTGATGTCACCATTAAAACTGAAATAGATCTAGTTGGTGATTAATTTAAATAAAACACAGCTTCTGACTTAGTTTTCAGGCGACAATGTATGTTTCGATTATTTGTGTCAGTGGAATCAATAATCGAGAAAAATAAAGCGAGTGTGATCTCCCCTGAACTTTTCGTAGATTCTTTTATAATAGTTAGGGTGATAGCACTGTCCGTGCAATGTCTCTATAGAAATGTTAACAGACGTACAGGATAGGATAGTTTTTCCGGCTCCTGAAATTTATTAAACGTCAAAATTTGTCAAAGTCTAGATTTAGATTTTTTTTCACACGATTACAATGCGTTTTTAACACGTTTTTCTTAACTCAGCTTCGCGTTTTTACCACGTTTTTCTTAACTCAGCTTCGCGTTTGTGGATTTGTTTGTTGTTAAAATTGACATCGAAAATTAGCCCACTTCTGATTGCTCTACAGATCTGAAATTTGGCATGCAGGCTACTTTCGCCTAACAATTTCAGATGCAATCATAAAAACTAGCAATTAGAGACCGTAATTAGCTTAATTTAATTACGCCCCAAGGACCATAAAATTGAGGACATGATTTCTAAAGATACCGACAAGACTGGAGGCCTATTGACACAGTTACTTCGGCGTGATCGTATAGTGGTTAGTACTTCGCGTTGTGGCCGCGACAACCCAGGTTCGAATCCTGGTCGCTCAAGATTTTTAGTCCGTGTATTTATAAACACTTAGTCAAGTCATACTTAATCAAGTCATTAGATAAAGTAGAAAATAAACTATATAAAAAACTTTTTTAAAAACCACGTTTTTCAAGTGTAGCAACGGACTAAAAAGGAGAAAATAAAATACTTAAAAAAACGTGGGTCGGGCAGATGGGTCGGGAAATTTGATGGTGAACGTACCCACGTTTTTTGTCAGTCATCACAAGAATCTGCACAGCTCGAGGAAGCACAAAAGAAAAATTATTTTCTACTTTTTAGTCCACAAGAAAAACGTGGTTTTTTAAAAAGTTTTTTTTTAAGTATTTTATTTATACTCTGATTAAGGTTGGGAGATGTTTCAGAAAGTTTACTATACTACCTCTACATGAGAGAGTAAAAAATATCCATCCCCGGCGGGATTCGAACCCGCGACCTCTGGATTAGAAGTCCAGCGCGCTATCCCCTGCGCTACGGGGACATGTCTTCTGGGTAATTTCATTTAACACTTGAGATACTACTATTTTGCAATGATGTCGAGGAACCGATGAATTGCCTAAAATGATTATATTTAGCAGTTATAAAAGACACGTATCTCAGCAAACGACCAATTTAAACAGACGGGCATAAAAACATAGACATAACATCAGAGAATCACACAGCACAACATGTTGCAAACATAATGTAATTATACAACAGAACTATATAAGGGTGTGTACTTTGAATGTTCTAAAAAATGTAAAGGTGCATTTGAATAATCTTAAACAAAAATATCATCCCCGGCGGGATTCGAACCCGCGACCTCTGGATTAGAAGTCCAGCGCGCTATCCACTGCGCTACGGGGACTGATGTACAAGATTTATAACACTTAGATATCGCAACTTGTCCATAAAGACTTCATGTTTCTTTTTTAACTCTACGTACCGCATTAATAGCTTTTTAAGCTGCAATTTCTAAAATATTAATAGGTCTAGGACAAATGAAGAACTCTTATATGCCAGAAAACTTCCAAAGTTTCAGTTGCTTTTTTTTTCAAATTACTTTACACCACCCACCACCACCCTCCCACCCCCTACTTTATTGTCCTAACCTAAATTTCAGAGAACGAACAATTAAAAAATTAACTAGATGACCCCCAATGGCTAGAGAGCGACCAAATCAAAAATTAACTCTATGACCCCCATATATCAGGGAATGACCCAATCTAAAATTAACTCTATGACCCCCAAATTTCTGGGAACGATTCTTCTGATCTTTTTTCCACCAGTCACTGAACATGGACTTCTCTAAAAATTGGATGTCAGGTTGCCTGCGGTAAACAACTTAATTAAATTTAATTCAATTATTGATCACTGTTTCTTTCTCAAGTTCAAGTACGACAACCCCAAATTAATCTACATTATAGCCACCCACCCCCCCCCCCCCCAGCCCACGTTATACCTATCTTATGAAAGAGCTCATTATCTCTCTAATTTAACATTCCACTCCATCTTAGCTGACAGGTGAATTGTGTAACATCTCTGCTGGGTACGAAAATATAGCGATGATATAAGTTGCTGTAAATACACTATTTCTACGTTAATTCTGTCCAGTCC